CGATTTATAACCATTTAATGGGTTTTGATTTGATATTGGAAACAGAGCAATACAAATTCACGTCTTGCGCGTTTGCCGTAAACCAACTCTAAATCTTGAAGTTCAAGTTCAAGGTCGAGTTTGTTAAAAACACTTTTGATACAAGCCATAATTAATCCTTGCCCGCAACGTAGCCTATAGCTAATCGAGGCGGGAAGGAAAAGTGAAAAAGTTACGACAACAGGCTTGTATCGTAACAATAAAGTTAAACAGTATGTACTTCAAAATAGGTAAATGAAACAAGGTATGTGTGAAATTAAACTAAGAAATTAATATTTACTAAATGTGTCAATTAGAGTACGCAGCCAACATAAGTATCCTCCTGTATCAAAATAATCCTGCAGCCGACTCTGCTCAAACTTGTTTGTATTTAGGTATAATAAGGCAGACCGTTTTTTAAATAAAGAAAATTAAGAGGAAGAACATTAGACAGTAAGAGACTCAAGGCGGTTTTTAAATGCAGCAAGATCTTTCTTAACCGCTTTCCAAAAACCAGTCAGGTCGTCGTACTCATCACGAACGAACTGTAACGTCTTAGTAGTTTCGGGATCTGGTCCAGGTTGACTTTGGCCGCCATGTTTGCTTACTTCAGTTTCGTGTGATCTAAAAGACGCTTGAAGTCGGCTGAGTTCGTTGCGCAAAGTTTGAAGTTCTTTCATCATTGAATCATTCTGATGTTGCAGTGCTTTAACTTTTGAGTTGTTTGCTTTTCCAGAGATAATTAGAAGAAAATTTCGACTGAAACTCTACTCGCTCAAAGCGCACGTCCACTAACTCAGAGCGCAAGTGAGAACCAGACTACTGACCGCCGAAATTTGCATTAAATTCATCCGACCAGCTCCTCATATGCAGCTTAACAAAAGAAGGTTGCTTCGGTGATTTTGGTCATTGGTAATTGGGCATTTGGCCCTCCATTTGGAGATATGGAACTCCCCTGGAATGATTTTCTTGAGTGACTATCAAACAATTATAGCGTCCCATTGAGAAATTCCGAATGCCCAAGGCAACCTTCATTGAATCAGCTCATAATAATTTTCCAACCCTTGGATAAAGTTTATTTATGTAAATGGTCAGATAATGTTATTTTCCAAAATATTTTATATTTGAGGAATGCTCAACTGCTGTGACATGAAAATATGAATATGGGTAAACATTGGCTATTTGTTCAGGGGCACCCAACGAGAATGTAGTTCAAAACCACTTAAACATAGCATGGTCTTCATATGTCTTCCTATCAAATGAAATGTCTTCATATGACAGCTTTGTTATATTGACCGAATACAGTTAGATCTTCAAGTTTCTAGTGGGCAAACCGGTCAGTTCACGGTTTAAAAATAATAAGCAAATTTCAGAAAAGGTAAATTTCCTTCCGCCCATCATAGCGTTTACCATTTGCACAAACCGCAGTTCCATTTAAGGGAAAACGGCTGCGAAAGCCTGAAACCTGCATGGTATCAAATACGACTTCTTCAATAGAACACGAATTTCCGTCCGGAAAAACAGGATTACTTTTTCAGATATTCCCTTGCTCCTGGAAATGACCCAAAAAGTCGTTTTCAACTTACTTTCCGATCCGGAAACGTTTTGGTATTTATGTCAATTACTCGTTGTCAATATCAGATTCATTTCATCTTTCTAGTATCCGTAATGAGTAGTTAATTAACACAGTCACCAGGGTAGTTAAAATTTCTGTCATCTTATGCAGAATGCAGATTTGAATCGTCTAACGACTAATTTCCTCGATTTCTAAATAATCAGAAGTCTGAAACACTGTTTCGAGGCAGTTTAATAGTCTTTAGCCGATTTAAACATGCATTCTGCACAACCTCGTCCCCAGGGCGCTGGGGAAGAGACGAATTACTTTTCAGTCAAGAGCCTGCTCCTGAATCAGTCCTTTCATAGTCAAAAGAATTTATGAGGATAATTCTGGCTTAGCTTGACTGCAAATTACGTCAGAGTCCTTCGAGCATTGAATAATCAATGAAACAAGTAATTTACAACTGTTTGAAAAGAGTTCTCATTTCGCGGTTTAAATCAGAGAGTTTTTAAACGAAGCCGAAAGAGAACCGAAACTGGAACTGGTAATATAGATGCCGAAAAGACTTTCCAAATAGAAGAAACGGTAATTTTTCTTTCAACTTCGTTTCCTCAACTGTGATTTTGAAAAGACCTTTCAAATCACATTCCATAGGGGTATTACCTTTTTTCACTCCTTCCTCCTTGCTTGCCTCTTAATCATTATTTTGAGTGAGACAGAGCATTTTGAAATCGAAAGTATTCTAGTTAATCAGGCCCTAAGTCTTACCGATAGAGTTCCCCCATGTAAAAGAATCCGGAAACTTTTTGTTCATGGAATGCAGAATCCCGGGGAAAATTTTTGCTTGTAGAATCCAGAATACAGCGCAGGGAATTCAGAATCCTGTTAAAGATTGAAATCCAGAATCCATGTTCTACTGAAAAGGACTGGAATCAGGAATCCACGACGTGTAATCTAGAATCCAAGACTGTCTTGGATTCGCTTACATGGGGCGAAATAGAGGCCTTAGTATCGCGAACAATCGTCAAGTTGTTACTGGAACAAAGCCAATTCTCGACTAGGCTTATCTATATTGATCATCGGCAGTTGGTGTCGAGGACTTGAATCACTAACGGCAAGATGGTGTTACGGTTACTCTGACCCAGAGGGACTTAAGGGTGACAAGAGCACTTTTCCTATAAGACTTCCATATTATGAAACGACCGTGTCGATGCGGGCAATAGAGTTTTTAAACGCTCTACCTGTTTGTTTCACTTTTCGATAAATTTTCTAGCCGTCAATGCGTCGACTACGACGAAACTTTCCTCAGTTTACGTGAACAATGGAGGATGGTTCGTAAAACAAGAGGACAATTAATTATCTTGTTTTGAACTGACCTAAACTTGGATACAAAATTAGGAGTTTTCCCTTCAAAACATATTCACCCATGCATTTAGCAAGTTGAATGAGATGAAATGACTGCACACGATGAACTTTAAAACGGGCGCAAATTCATTTTTTAAGTGTCAGGTTTTCGCTGCTATCACCGTTTCCTGCATTACCTTAGCTCCCGCCATAAGTGAGGCTCGGTGAACGCCTCTCTGGAATTGAAGGAGTAGGCGGGAACCTTGAAACGAAAGCATTTAAAGCAGTTATTCGTAAGATAACCCGTTCGCTTTAGAACATTCTTTGGAGAGAACAATTGGTGGTCCTACTTTTGAATCTACTTTCAAAATCCTATACAGACTGTGTTACCATTTGAAGAAGCCCGTTTTTTGTATAATACTATTTATTTCTAAGGATTTGTGTTTAATACTTTACGATCGAAGAACCTTGTAGGCGTTAAATAGGTTGTTTTGGTCACGCTTCACTATAAATACCGGACTTCGATGCTTTCGTTTGGAGGCTGCCTTCAGAAACCCAAGCCAATTCTCAGGTATGTTTTAGATGAATGTCTAAATGTGTGAATAAACGAGAACTGGGAAAATTTGGAGTCATGCCACATGAGGCATAATGCCGCAGAAAACAACTACTAAATTAAGGTTCTTGTCACCGTAAAAACTTGTTCTTCGTTTTTTAATTTCGTCACTTCAACAAGTTTCGATATTGCTTTGAAAGTATCTTCCAATGAAAGAAGAAGAGTTTTTCTATTGATGGAAAGTGTCCAAATTTCTCCCTGCAGCTTTTTTTGCGAAAGCGAGGAGAGTTGATCTTAGCAAATTTCGGGTTGAAAATAAGGCCATTTTGAGACTCCGACCACGAAAACTGATATTCTTACTTTTCTGGAAAATAAAAGGCTTTTTGCGACAACAACTTACATCAGATTACTTATCTACCTAAAAGCTATTTATGAACAAACAAGGAAGGAAATCGATTTTTTAACTCTTGCCACTCGATGGTCAATATTTCCAGACCGTAGCTCTTAAACATTATAAGAAGTATCTATTTCCAAAAACGATGAGAATGAATCACTCCTGCAGCCGAGAAAAAGTCTCAGTAGCAGCAGTTTGCAGCAGATCGACTTCCTGAGGTGTTGAAGTGAGTGACGTCATAGTTTGTACTAAAAGTAGCCGAATAGCGTTGAAGTGCGTGGGATTTAAACCGATTAAGAGAAGTAAGAGTACGAGTGGATACAGGTAACGTATTCCAGAGTTTAGCAATACGGTTAAAGAAACTAAATTGAAAGAGCTTTGTGCGGCACTTGCGAATTATACCGAGCTTTGGCGAGTGAGACGAGTGCCTTTAGGCTTGACGTTATCATCTATGCGTAACGTGTAGTGGCCAGCGCGACACTTGAAATAAAAAAAAAAAAACAAAATTAAGTCTTTCACTTCATGCCAGCATGTTATCGGTAGCAGATTGAGGCGAGAAAGGCGCTCATGATAAGAAATATCTCTTTGCCAGTGCGTGTTTAAGATGAATTTTTTTGCCCTGCGTTGAAGACTCTCTATTTTTGTTATATTACACATCGTACTGGGAGCCCATACCTCGCTAGTATAGCCAACATATGATCTTACAAACGTGAGATATAGTAATTTCATAATGGTCTGTAGTGGACATAACACTATTGCGGCGCAAAAATTGCACGAGCAAAATCATGTGATTACTTATTAATAATATTCATGAAAATATTGTGAGATAGCTTTAAAATCCCTTTGATAGGGAGTCAACACACGTAGGCTACGTGTAACAGCGTGCAAAAATAAATTATTCAAATGCTGCAAATATCATCACACATGCAGTCAAAACAACATTCTGCTCGATGTTTTTAAAGTTTGCAAGCTGCAGAAACGGGCCGAACAGTTCATGGAATTGTTGAATCTGTTTGAATTAAAGATTCTGGGTTATTACCTCCGAGTTTTCCTCTCTTCCAGAGAGTTTCTTCTTCCTCCTCTGATACTTGCCGAGCTTTGTTTGTGCGCTTACCACTGCCAGCCAAGCGAAGCTATTTCGCTTTGTCCTCCAGCACCTCTTTGGACGAACTAAATTCTCGGACACGTACAATGGACAGGGTGCAGCCTTTGTTCTTTAAGTGTCTATCAAGCAATGCCGTCATTACTTTAAGGCTTTCTGGTTCATAATCTTCACCTTTTTTATTGTTTACTTCGGCGTAGAAATGCTCAAGCAACTCAGCCGGCTCATAATTTTCTATTTCATCAGTAACATCCTTGTCTACGCACCAATTCTTCCAAACTGAGAGCCAAAAACCAGTGCTTTTCGCAGTGTTTCGTTTTTCTACAGTTGTTTCCGTCGCAAAAGTAAATGTGCTGCAAACGCCAACCGCTGCGGTTTTTGCTCGAAATTGGTCCGGAGCGGATCCAAATTTTGCGCCATTTAGATGACGCATTTGATTGGCTCTCTGTGAATTCCTTTGTTTTTTAGCCAATCAGAGTGTCACGTTTGTTACTCTTTTCTGCACTAAATTACATTTTTTCTGCACTCAATTATTCTGCACCGTGTTGCCTAAACTGCTTTTCTCTTAGCCAATCACAATCGAGAATTTTTTTCATGTATATTATTAACAAGTAAAACCAAGTGTTCAGGGACACCCAATAGCCGTCACACAAATACATGGCCATCCCCAAGTCCAGATGAAAGAAATGACTCCAGGAAAAACTCAAAATAAGGCGAAAACGAATAAGATTAGTTACATTAAACACAAGACATTAAAATACAGTTTATGTAACGTAAATATATTATAAAGGTAATATATGTAATAGAGCGGTTTTCACTTGACTGTCGAAAGTAATTGAGGAATTGGTTTGGTTTTGGTTTTACTACGCCCTTTGGTTGGCTAGTGTATTTACTTTGGTTTTGGTTTTACAACAGTCAAGTGAAAACCGCTCTATATGGAAGTCAAACAATAAACCCTAATCCTTTTTTCACCAATGACTACGTAGTTTGTTGACGAGATGTATCCGGCAAACTTGATAAATCATGATGGGACTTGTTTTATAGGCTGATACTAAATTCTGGTACGGTGTATAAAGCTACTCTGGGGCTGGCCGTTTTTTACCTGTGAGGGGAAGTGGGGGCCGCCATTTTGTCTCAATAGCTTCACAAATGGATCAACTTTAAGGATTGACTCGAAAAATCGACTCACATGTTTGGTTTTCCGCCACTCGATTATTCTCTCTACCTCGTACAGCTTCCCTCTTTTTGATTTTCTGCTGGAGGTGAAATATCATGAAGCTGTGCGTAATCTACGAGGAAAGCACGCTTTTTTTCCACCATATTGGATTCCCTGTTGTTAAGAAGAAAGCCGCATACCACAGCGCGGGCTCAAATGCGCGTGATTTCTGGCCATGGGATCTTTGATCTTGATTTTGGGTGGTCCTTTTCAGATAAGGGAGCGTTACCTGGGGGGCCATTTTAATAAATTTCATGAAAGTAATACAAAAGCGGTTGCAAAATTGAAATTAAATTCAACAGCCGCGAATGGTATACGCCAATCTTAGAAACACTACTGCAGATACAGTCAAACCTTCCGTAAGCGACCACCCAAAATGCAAAGACTTAGTCGTCGCCTACGGGAGGTGAGCCTTTACAAGAATTGAAACACAGGAGGCCTCATCCAAGAAGAGGCCTGGGCACATCTACTTTATAGAAGATAATTTATTGCATGCAATTTCTAAGTCGCGCCATGTGTACTTCCATGTTGTCACTAAAGTCCTTCGTATAGTCAAAGTAGCACCACACAGCGAGCAAAAAGATTAGAGAATGCGTCAAGAGGTCGCTTACAAGAAGTTAAAAAAATTAGAAAATCATTAGGCCCAAAAGGTGGTCGCGGTCGCTTACATTTTGGTGTTTTGGATTTGCGGTCGTTTATGGGAGGTGGTCGCTCATGAAGGTTCGACTGTATTTGGTGAACTTCGGCAAGATTTTTTTGTAGTTAGAATATCCGTAGTTTCCACACCAATGGGGGTCATTTATACAATTAAAGCTATGATGAAATAGGGAGGTCGGTTTGAAATGTTTTTAAGCTTTCTCAAATAGCCGGCACCCCTCACAAGTAGTAAGTGACCAGTGCCCTCAAAACCTTGAAGTTCTAATGTATAGGTCGCAGGTAGCCTCTTAAATAATGTGATTAGCGGGTTTATCATATCACATGACATTAGATCGGTAGATGTGCTTGTAAATGATAATTTGAAATTGAAAAACCTCGAAACCAGTCGCTCACTTGTCAAGGCTACCCTGATGTACAAAATCCTCAATGATCAATCTGTCTCCATCTAACAGCCTCTTACAAAACTCAACGATAGTAGCACCAACCATAATTTTAGGAATCTTGAAACTGATCTAGCACTGCCAAGGCCAAAAACGAATTTCCTCAAATGTAATTTTAAGTATAGTGGTGCAATGCCCTGGAACAATCTTTCTTACGAGGCAAATCAGCACAATCGCTTTCCGAATTTAAAGGCAAACTTGCCTCTTTGCCTACTGCTGGATCGCTCAGATTCCTTTATTTATGTGTAAATTTTTTAAAACCTATCTTAATTATTCTCCAAAACTCCCACCAACATATATTGTAAAACTAGCTGCATTGAGTAAATATTTACAAAATAAATTATTTTCTTAAAAATTTTTCACATTTTGCATCCCTATAGTAAACACTTGCTTCTGTAATGCGTGTTTGCGTACGCGCCCGCCTGGAAATCAGCTTTTGTTGTGTGTGGCTCGCGGAGTTAAATAGCTTTGTTGTTGTTGTTGTCAACGAAGCTTACCGTAAGTAAGCCCCGTTTACAATGAACATATCATTCATGCACATCCTTCAGTGGACTTCAGTTTCTCTTCACTGTCACAATTTCGGACAAACTGAGGCACTGATGACTGTTGCTTAGTGATTAGCTCCAAAACACAAGGGCTCGGGAATTCGTGGTCACATAGTCCCAGAATTAGGTACTTCTTATAGGGAATGCACCGCCAAAATTCCATTTTACTGCTCAAGTATCACTTATTAGGGACGTCAAGAAAAAGGAAAGCAAAAAAGAAGAGAGGAGAGAAAATAGTTCAATAACAACTGCGCTCTTTATTGCAATATACCGCAGCTGACAATTGCAACGCGCCAGGCCTGGCTTTCTGTGGGTTTAATTTTAGTGTTTTTCCGGCCAGCATCACCACCTTTTTCACATGGAATCTTCCAAGGCGTTTCCCATGAAGTTATGTACTACTTAACGCAGTCGGTACACCACCCCCCCCCCCTCCCCCCCGCCGGGAGTCAGTATCGTGCCCTTTGATTAACTGACTATTAGCTTTGGCAATCACACGATACTGTTCGATGTTAGCACGTGGTGTTCGCTGCATTGGTATAATCGTATCGGCTCCGTGGAACTGCAAACAGACTGCTAGCGGTCAAGGTAATATTATTTTTAATTTGCTTATTCATTACCGTGGCGGAGAATAATTGTATTATTGAATTAACTGGTAATGTACACTGCCAGTGTTAGAGACTAGTGCAAGAAATATTAACGATAGCACCATAGCTTTAAACATCCAATTCCTTCCTTTCTATAGAGTGCGATACAACTTTAACGTTACAAGTAAAAAATACTTTTAAAATAGGGAAAATTGCCTTAAATTGATAAAGAATTATGTCATACGTTAAATAACACCTCATTCTGTTCTGTCACATTAACTTATCATCAATTATTAGTAGTAGAAAAGAAACATTTTCGGTCATTTGTTGAATTAACACTAGTTAAATACAATTTTCCACTACAGTGGCGAGTAAGACACATAAACGTTCCACCTTGTTTGTAGTAGAACGCACGATATCTTTTATAGGCACCTGTGTGGTTATAAATTTCATAATTAAACCAGACGTTAACGTTATCGACTTCATCTTGACAGGAAACATTCTGAAAAGGCAAAAGATCGACTGTATCATCTATATGTAACAATTCAAGGGTGAAATTATTACTACTGACTATTATTATTTAAGTATCAGAAAGGGATTCTTAGGAATGCTCTTCCAGCAATACTTTTTACCCAAGAATCCGATTGCATGTCTCTTGGGTTTTAAACCTATGGAGCATTTCTACATGATGACACGTCCGCGATATTGGTGTCGCAAAAGCAATAGAAAGGCGGCATTGTTGATTTCCCTAACCATTACCGTGGGAGTTGAAACTTTTTCCTATGTAAAAACGTCCATTGTTTCATTAACTTTGCATATCTGCATTCCATATGAGTGAAAAGGCTCCACAGAATTTAGAGTAACATAACTAAAAATTTAAATAGCATTCTAGTCATCCGATAACCATTTATACCTCAAATTATCCCATGCCACTACAGCCAATCCGAAAGCAAGAAATTCGCTGCATCTATTGCGGTAGTGCAACGCGTAGCATTATCGAAAAAAATTCCCGCGATTCTCGGTTTTCCCGCTGGAAACTCTTGTGAACAACTTTTGAGAACCAACGATTTTCTCAAACCGCCTTCTAACTTTTCTCACCATTTCATTTTGTCATGTGTGGTGTCTTCAGTTGTGAATCATGGGGAAATCAAAATGCTTGATCTCATAGTAATATGACGCACGTGCCTACGGCAGGGCATTGTCACTTTTTTGTTCTCGCCACATTTTAACCTCAAAGTTGTGATATCTAACTAAAAAGACACTCACCGGCAAATTTGAACCTATTCATTAAATCTATTGTGGTATAGGATAATCGGAAAGTCTACTATTAAAAAAAAGATGTTTTCATAATTGTACGCCTGCAGAGAAAATTTCTTAAACTGGTGTTTTCACTCACCTCGAAGCTGGTTGAGTTCCCTTTAAAGGCAAGTGAATAGGTTTTGTTGAACGAGATGCACCGTTTTTTTTCATCTTTTTCCGATTTTTCCAGCGTAAAATCTGCTAAAATATGATATCAAAGTACAAGCTTTATGACATAGCAACAGAGTGCCTTTTGGAATATCTCACACTTTAATTTTTTGGTGAGTGGTGACACATTCCTGATCAAACCAGAGAGAGCCAAATGGGATAAAAAAGCACTAATTTTCAGTTATTCAGCCTCAGGGAAAACAAGAATAACACTGCAAAATTTAATATTTCTAGAAAGAGTGAAAAAGACTTTACCGAGTGTGGGTGGGTGTGTCGGATATCATGTTGTATCGCCAATAGCATAGAAATTCGGCTAGATCACAGGATCCCCGCAGTGGCGCGATAGTCTTCAGTAATAAAACATGGAATTTTATGCTTATAAATTTTTTCCTTTTTAATATAATTTTGAGATGGAAAGTGACTGAGAGCAGTAGAACGACATCAAGAAACCCGCCAACTTACTTGTGTTGGAATTCTTGCTCGTTTCGCCAACCGCAAATGCTGGACATTCGTTCCGCGAATTTTTATTTTCACAACATTCCTTCAGGTTTATTCTCACATAACGCCCATCATAATTGCATCTACTGTCATTACTCTTTGCACCCTCGTAAATAAGTCTGAGAGAGTACACTTCTTCAGCAAACAAAAAGACGAAAACAGTCTAGGAACAAAGAAAAGAGATATGATAAGCTGAAACAAAAAAAAATCAGTCAAAATTTGAAAATAGCATAGTTACCCTTAAACTCAAAATACAGTCAAACCTCCCATAAGAAGCGACCACCTGCCCAGAACTCTTTTTTTCCAGTCAATGCTCAATAATTAGAACCTCTTGTAAACGACCACTTCTCACAAGATGCGACCACCCACCGATATAACTTTTGTTCCCAGTCAATGCTCAATGATTAGAACCTCTCGTGAGCCACCACATCCCATAAGAAGCCACCACCTACCCAGAAAACTTCTTTTCCCAGTCAGTACTCGAGCTCAATAATTAGAACCTCTCGTGAACGATTACCTCTCATACGCGACCTGCAGGCATCCGTCAAGAAAACTCGTTTCATGAAACTCGGTCCCCAGATTTACAAAAGTCAAATCCAAACTTAGAACTTAAAAGTAGCATCAGGCTCAAAAAAACCCGAGACTTCAAGTTCTGGTACGGTATACTCACTGCAAAAAAGACTTTCAACTTCATTTTCTTCTGTTAACAATGACTTTCACTTCAACTTCAAACTCTTTTGTCGATGGCAGCTCGATTAAGATAAAAGTTCGACACAAATTTTATAGCTTAACCATGACGTTTTAGTACAATTGTTTAATGATGGAAGAATTCAATGTCGTTCCTAAGCTTGTAAAATTTGAATTCTTGATTAACATGCTAATAAATTCTTTTGCAATTAACGTTGATTAAACAAATAAAAAGTTTGAACAGTAAAACAGTTTAAAGGTCCAAAATCAGCGGAAGTATCCTTTTATTAGAGTGATTCAATGATCGCGAAGGTATTTAACTCTTCCTTAGCAACTTGTCATCCACCTTAGGGGCAAAAATGAGCTTGATTTTATGTCATTAATCCGGCAAGAACACGGGACGAAAAAACGGATTTACCGAACGTCAAAGGTGAAGTCAAACGCGCGATAAAGGCCACCTTTGCACACCTTTGTACAACTTTGACGCGCGACAAATGTTTACATTTGCCCGCGGTCAAAGGCGCGCCTTCAGGCGATAAAGGCCGTTTTTGTCACGCCTTTAACCCCTACCTTTGACGCGCGTCAAAGGTATATTTCATTAGCATTTGTACCCCTATCAAAGGCGTCGTCAAATATGTCTGAGATTCAGGCCAAAGGTGTGACAAAAGCGCCGCAAAGTTATGTCTGTGATTAAAGTCAAAGGCTTGTGAAAAGTGTCGTCAAAAGTGTCTGAGCCTCAGGTCAAATATGTGACAAAGTTGTCGTCAAATGCGTCTGAGATTTAAGTCAAAGGTTTAACAAAGGTGTTGCCAAATATGTTTGTTTTTTTTCCTCCCCTCGCATCGCGCCTCTCGCTCGTCTCGCGCTTCGCGTGAATTCCTCGTTCTCCTCGCGTTTCGCGCGAATGCCGCGTTATTGCCTCGCTANACCTCTCATACGCGACCTGCAGGCATCCGTCAAGAAAACTCGTTTCATGAAACTCGGTCCCCAGATTTACAAAAGTCAAATCCAAACTTAGAACTTAAAAGTAGCATCAGGCTCAAAAAAACCCGAGACTTCAAGTTCTGGTACGGTATACTCACTGCAAAAAAGACTTTCAACTTCATTTTCTTCTGTTAACAATGACTTTCACTTCAACTTCAAACTCTTTTGTCGATGGCAGCTCGATTAAGATAAAAGTTCGACACAAATTTTATAGCTTAACCATGACGTTTTAGTACAATTGTTTAATGATGGAAGAATTCAATGTAGTTCCTAAGCTTGTAAAATTTGAATTCTTGATTAACATGCTAATAAATTCTTTTGCTGCAATTAACGTTGATTAAACAAATAAAAAGTTTGAACAGTAAAACAGTTTAAAGGTCCATAATCAGCGGAAGTATCCTTTTATTAGAGTGATTCAATGATCGCGAAGGTATTTAACTCTTCCTTAGCAACTTGTCATCCACCTTAGGGGTAAAAATGAGCTTGATTTTATGTCATTAATCCGGCAAGAATTACCCGACCGGTCCAGTTTCAGGGATGCTTCTTTTGTAAACTTCCCGTTGAGGGCACTGTCGAGAAAAATCTGTGGTCAAAAGTCTCTTTCCGCTTGTATTGCTTATCCACTTGTATGACTATCGAAACGTGAGGCGTAAGAAATCATTTTTCTGGACCGATGTTTATCTATTGTGTAAACGGAGGGAAGGTGGAGTTGAGTTAAGTCGGCGCAGATAGTCTGACTGAATTCGCGATCATGGCTTTGATGATTTTATATTGAGAAAACCTTTGGTAATTCATTTCAATGGTATATTTGAAGAATATTCTTAAATATCAGTTTTAACGACATGAAATATATTATTCATCGTGAATAATGTGTATAAAGGGTTTCGTTCTGATTGTTTGTCTCAGGACCGTCGCATAGATATTGATCGCGACGAACTGCAGTACACGGTCGAAACGTCGCGATCATTATCTATGAAACAATCGTTAGACAAACGATTAACGAAACCCTGAACCCTTCATATATCAGTTACTCAAAATTAATTACTCCCTCACCCACATCTAGTATATATGAAGTAATATAATGTTGCCTTAGAGATCTCAAGCATAGCCCGAGTAAGAGGTAAAACAAACGAAAGAAATCCAAACGAATCTGAAATGTACACATCACTAGAAAATTCAGTTAACCGAACGTTTCCTAAGGAAGTTCGAAATCAGCTATCGAAATCTTGTCTCATTTGGAATTTAAAAACGCCCGCGACCTAGATCTTTCAGTGTTATTAATTGATCGTTACAATTACTCGCAATGCTTTCTTTGTAAAATCTTAATTATTTATTATCTCATATTTTAGTTTATCTATTATATTTGTCCACACCAGCTGTATAAGTTGCCACTATTGACCTGCTAACCAAATAAACCATGTATGTATGTAGTTATTCATTATCATAAATACATTTACCCCCCCCCCCGCGGGGGGGGGGGGG